CAGAGAGACGAGATATATGTCGGAGAGGAAACAAAAAAAAAACTTGTAAAAAATTTGTGTGCGTGTGTGTGTTTTGTTCATCTGAAAGGCAAGCTTGAAGAAAACTCGTGAAAARAAAAGACGAGTCTTGTTGCATGTTTCTTATTTTATAGTCCATAAATCGTGGATGTTAACTCCGTTGAGACTGTGAAGGGATAACAYTACGTKAAAATTTAAGTATACTTGGGCTGTTTACACGAAACCTGTATGCGAACTTTTACTCGAACGGTGATTCACGCTTTTGTTTTTTTCCTTGTCGAAAATAAGAGAGATGGTGGCAAAAAAATAAAAAAGAAATGAAGGAAGAATAAAAAAGGGAGAAGAGAATAAAAATAGACAAGAAGAAAATATAGTTTGCAATGAATAAGATAGAAAGTGCTAGATAGATAGATAGATAGATAGATAGAGAAGATATTCGGTAGAAATAAGGTTTACGCGTTTATACCGGACGCCGTAGGGGACTCTGGAATTTAGGTGCTGCCTGCATAATTAATTCATAGTTTCTCGGCTAGATCATTAAGGCAAATCGTTAACGGCTCAAACTGGGCCTTCCTAAGCTCCTGGTTATCGTTGTTGCCATCATCAGGAACACCAACACCATTTCTTTTTGCATCTTTATATCATCTTTATCCAGATGACCCCGTTTACTCGACTCTACTAATTCTTTCTTTCTTTTTTTGCACGAAATTAGCATGACACATTTTAAAGGTTTGTTTTATTAGATTGTCCGGAACCGATTTTCATAATGTTTTTTGCTGAAAAATCTGAGATGTTCTGAAATGACGAAATTTTGAAGTTACCCTTAAAGATGGAGAAAGATTAATGCCTCATTAATTGGCATTAATGGGCAAATCCCGGCCAGTGTTCTCGTTCCTGAGCTTGATTTAATTAATTTATACCATAAAAAAAGAAAACTTAAATGAATTGCGTTTGAATCTTCCGTCAAGTTCGGCAAGCACTTTCTGGACAACCCAATATATTGAAAAGATTTTTCATTCCTATGTAAAACGGTCCGTTTCATTCTGTTCCGCTCTGTTCTATTCTGTTATATTCCATTTCTATTCCGTTCTGTTCGATCGAACATGTTTCGAGTCGGCCGATTCTACGCAAAAGCGTAAAAAAAAAGATAGCAAGAAAGTGTGCATTCTGTCGAAAGAGATAGATCGAAGCAGCTTTTGAAATATTTCAACTCCTCGTTGTTTCCCCATCGATTACGGAAGATTGAACAACTTGCCTTGTACGAGTAAGGATTGCTCAAACTTTTTCACCAAAGTGGAAAAAAGAAAACCTTACCCTGTTCGTGGTTATTCAATTCGCGTTAATACACAAACTTCAGCTTTTTCATGCAAATTTTTTACCTATCTCGTCTTTTAAACATTTTATATTTTATTCTACAAACAATTTCATAATCTTTGATTTATTCTTTTAAGCATCTTGAAGATACATTGAAAGAATACACCCAAAAAAGGTTGCTTTAATTGAATTAGGTATATCCAACATTAAATGTAAAATAAAAATTCAAAAAAATAAACTAACAATTGATTAATACTAGTTAATTTTATTATAATAATTAATTATTAAATTATTATTAGGATATTACTAATTAAATAAATAAACAGTTGGATTATAATTATTTTGGTTACTTAAAAAATTCCATTTTAACACGTTCCGTGCCACGTGTGCCATATGTGGTACACGCTGACAAATCCTGGCACATCCCTGTCAAAATCCTGACGCAACCCTGACACAACCCTGACATATTTATTTAATACTTGTCAAAATATCAAATAGACTTGTATAAAAGTTCGAACAGTAATAGATCGACACTAAATATGTTAATATTATTTTTATATTTTATTTATTAGAATATATTTTATTTTCATGATAAACAAGATTTTGTTCTATATTCAAACCTTGTCATCAACATTATAGAAAATTTCTATTTTTCCTTCGTCAGAATTTATTCTTTAGGAAGACACACTGGAGAGAAGGAATCCAACATAAATGAGACTTTTGATTATATTTTTCAGTACGTTCTTATATTCTTTTATCGAAACGTAAAACAAATGAAGTTAGCTTGACTCAAGGGAAAATCGAGAGAAAATAGGAAATAGTATTTTCTCATAAGAGAAATAGAAGGGACTGTGAACATAGAAATTAAATGAATCCTTGACAAGGGGAATGAAAACGAGTGAAAAAAAATGAAATTATGCTCGGAGGAAAAGAGTCAGCCGCAAATGGCATTCTTTTTACTTACGTGTGAAAGTAAAATAAAATGTCTTCTCTCTTTTTCACTCTTTCATTTTTCTGTTATTTTCTACGTACTTTAACACACGTCTTTTTTTCTCATTTATCGAGCTCAATTATTTTCGTTGAGAATCTCTTCTAGTGTGAAACGCAAGCATGTTACTACTATCCACCCACGACCATTTCTTCTTCTTTACTTTTTTCTTCTTTTTTTTTTTCCATATTTATCTGAACCAGACCGCAATTAGTCTTTCTCCAGACTTCTTCGTGCAAATTTACTTCAAGCGGATGGTAACGAGAAGAAGTTGTAAAAAAGAGAGAAGAGTAAAAGTGAAGTACTTACTGCAGCGATGCGAGGAATGAGTCCTCGTACCTTACTTTTTACCTTCCTAAGTAATAATAAGTCTCTCGTTAGAGAACAGTCATAGATTCGTTGCTAATGATATCAACGCTAGTCTTATTTTTCTGCTATTCAATTCAAACCAATTTCTTTTTCATTTGCCTTATTGTCATGTTAACAAAATTATTGTATTTTGAGTAATAACATTTACTGGAACTAATGAATATATAGATCTGGCTAATTATTTGATTGAAACTTGTGTTCATGGTAAAATTTGAGTTTGTAAGTAATAATATACCATAAAAAGTACAGTATAAAATTCTTTGCTAATGATATCAATATTAATCTTATTTTTTATATTATTTCATTCAAGTTTATTTCTTTTTAAATATGTCTTTTCTTATTTACAATATAATTATATAATATATTTCATGAAATAAAATAATAACATTAAATAGAAGTATATGATATAAATATTTAGCTAATTATTCGATTAAAATTTGTGTTCGTTGTAATATTTCAATCTGTAAGTAATAATACACTGTAACAAGTAATGTATAAGATTCTTTGCTAATGATATAAATGTTAATCTTATATTTTATGTTATCTCATTCAAAATATATTCATGTCATATTTACAAAATTATTATTAAGAAAGTTCACGTAACCTCGGACAGTTCCTATTACCGGAGACTAATATAATTCAAAAAATAATAATGTGGACGTTTAGAAAAATAAAAAACGTGAGGTACAGGATCATACAATCGATTTTATCAGTGACGCTCTAAAAAACATCAGAAGCGGTCGATTTCTGTTTTCAGCAGGAAAACACTGCATCGTCCAAAATTCAGGTAAGTGTTACAGCTACATTTCTGTGCTTAAGTCAATGTTGTATTTGTTCATCTAAAAAAGGCTCCATTATTATTTGTTGTATATTAATTTTTCTGCTAATTTTCAAAACGGATTAAGTATTAATTACGTAATGTTTTTATTATCCTGTCCCATAGTACAAAACAGAAATAGTCCTTTACGCTGTACAGTCAAATCTACATTCAAAATAGAAAAAGAAAAAATAAAGACAAATATTTATATATACAATGAGTAACAGAATTATTYTGTATATCATTACTGACAAAGTTTATRAACAATAATTGATATCCAATGTTTTCAAATTCAAATTCATATCATTTCAATAAACGGAAAATCTCTTTTAAAATTATTTATTCTTTAACGGATAAATCGAGATCTGTTTCATTACTTTCAAAAGAAAATTTATTCTAGAAGAAAAATATTATTTCAGAAAAATGATAAAAAAATAAGTAATTATGTATATTATATCATTTGTATAAAACACGTAAAATTTAAAATGAATTCTATGGAACGAATATTCGTAAATCAATATTATTTGTTATACATAGTACCGGTTTATGTAATATTATATACTGAAGAAATAAATCACAAATAAACTTTGATAATGATCATAAAAAATTGAAAATATGTTTCAAATAAACAAATAAAAAAACGAAAAAAGAATAAAATTTTTCTTTATATTCTGCCGATTTCAAAAAGAAAGTTATATTTTTATTATATATTTATATATATTTCTATTAGATATAGAACTTTTCTTACGTCTTTGTACTTTTTATTTGTTTCATTTTTTCATAAAGTTTATGAACGATAGAGCTATAGATATGCTTATTCCACTTTGTTCTGCTAATTCATCTGGAGTTAGATACAGAAATTCATCCATATTATGCACTAATTCTTCATTTTCCAACTCTGTGCGTGGTGATCTTGAAGTAGGTCTTTCTAAGTTGAAATTATATTTTTCAAGCGTTTATTCCTCACAACATGTACTTAACAATATAATATTCTATGTATATATAAAAATGATACATAATTGATATATATATATATATATATATATATTACAAAGAGGTATAGAACTTTGCTCCTGCTCTTTTTCTTTTAATTTGTTTTGAAATTCCTGACTGTTTACGCGTGTGTGAACTGTACCTATGCTTATTCCACTTTCTTCTGCTAACTCGTCTGAAGTTAGATACGGGAATTCATCCATATTATGCACTAATTCTTCATTTTCCAACTTTGTGCGTGATGATCTTGAAGTAGGTCTTTCTAAGTTGAAATTATATTTTTTGAAGCGTTTATTCCACACAACATGTACTTAAGGATATAATATCCTGTATATATATATATATATCAATAATATATTTTTTTTCAATCGTTAAATTTAATTTCTTGAATTTTACAATTTTTTCAAAAAAGAAAAAAAAAAGAAGAAAAAAGAAAATATATATATACATTATATTATAGTAATATTTAATATATTATATTACTTTTANTAATGTTTTTATTATCCTGTCCCATAGTACAAAACAGAAATAGTCCTTTACGCTGTACAGTCAAATCTACATTTAAAATAGAAAAAGAAAAAATAAAGACAAATATTTATATATACAATGAGTAACAGAATTATTCTGTATATCATTACTGACAAAGTTTATAAACAATAATTGATACACAACATTTTCAAATTCAAATTCATATCGTTTCAATAAACGGAAAATCTCTTTTAAAATTATTTATTCTTTAACGGATAAATCRAGATCTGTTTCATTACTTTCAAAAGAAAATTTATTCTAGAAGAAAAATATTATTTCAGATAAATGAAAAAAAAAGTAATTATGTACATTATATCATTTGTATATAGCACGTCAAATTTAAAATGAATTCTATGAAACGAATATTCGTAAATCAATGTTATTTGTTATACCTAGTAACGGTTTATGTAATATTATATACTGAAGAAATAAATCATAAAAAAACTTTGATAATGATCATAAAATATTGAAAATATGTTTTAAATAAACAAATAAACCAACGAAAAAATAATAAAATTTTTCTTTATATTCCGCCGATTTCAAAAAGAAAGTTATATTTTTATTATATATATATATATTACTATTAGATATAGAATTTTGCTTACGCTTTTTTTCATTTTATTCGTTTTCTATTTTCGAAGGGTCTATGATCCTTTCAGCTTGAGATATGCTTATGTCATGTACTTTTGCTAACTCTTCTGGAGTTACACCCGGGAATTCATCTATAAAATGCTCTAATTCTTCATCTTCCGACTCTGTGCTTGGTGTTCTTGAAATACGTCTTTCTAAGTTAAAATCACATCTCTTAAAGCGTTTATTCCATACACAACATGTACTTAAGCATATAATATCCTGTATATATATATACATTATATTATAGTAATATTTAATATATTATATTACTTTTAGGTGTAGAACTTGGCTCCAGCCCTTTTTCTTTTAATTTGTTTTTTATTTCTTGAGTGTTTACGCCTTTTAAAGCTGTAGGTAAGCTTATTTCCACTTGCTTTGCTAACTCATCTTGACTCATACGAGGGTTATCAGGAATCAAACGAACCAATTTTTCATTTTCCAATTCTCTATGTTTTCTTTTCAAAGTAGTTCTTTCTGAGTAAAAATAAACCGACTTTTAGCGTTTTTACCATCCACAACATATACTTAAGGATATAATAACCTTTGTATATATAAAAATGATATATAATTAATATATATATATATATATATTACCAAGAGGTACAGAACTTTGCTCCTGCTCTTTTTCTTTTAATTTGTTTTGATATTCCTGACTATTTAGGTATCTGGAAACTGTACTTTGACTTTTTCCAACTTTTGATGCCATCTCTGCTAGAGTAATTCTCGGGTCTTCAAGTCTCAAACGCACTAATTCTTCAACTGTCTGTTTTCTACGTACTTGTCTTGGTGCAGTAAATTCTAAATTGAAATTATCTTTCTTGAAGCGTATATACCCCACACAACATGTACTTAAGGATATAATAACCTTTGTATGTATAAAAATGATATATAATTGATATAGATTACCAAGAGGTATAGAACTTTGGTCCTGCTGTAGCTTTTTTAATTCGTTTTGATATTCTTGACTTTTTAGGTATCTGNTAGGGTCTTTCCGATAAGTCCGTAGGGTCTTTCCGATAAGTCCGTAGGGTCTTTCTGATAAGTCCGTAGGGTCTTTCCGATAAGTCCGTAGGGTCTTTCTGCTAAGTCCGTATTGTCTTTCCGATTAGTCTTTAAGGTGTGTTTAATTAGGCCTCGTTGAAGAGTCTCGTAAAAGAGCTTCGTTAATCAGCCTCGCAATCTAGTTTCTTTTATTTACAAACTTTTTTATTTTATTGAAAAATTAGTATAAATTTCCTAAATACGCAAACATTATAATTAAAAAACACGTTTTCGGATATTTATAAAAAAAGTATTCTACAATGTTGTCTAATTCTTTTTCTCTGAAGTATCTGATAATCATTTTTTTTTTTGTAAAATATTGCAGACAATACAATTATTGTATTCTATATATTTCGTAATTGTTAATTACAATATTTGCGAAATAAATAATTTAATATTAATTTTTTAATAAAATAGAAAAGTTTTTAAATAGAAAAGAAATGACACGTTTGGTAAAAAAAAATCATACCACGCACTTTCTTTGTTTATGTCGACTGTCGGTTCGTTTGGACCTTATACTTTTGTCGCATACCTACGTTGCTTATCTCTGTTTATTATTTTACCCTTCTATCGCTTCTACCTACAAACATTTCGAGTATCGAAAGAATATGTGTGTTTACGCTTTGTAGTATGCAGTCGCGCACAAACACACACATAAAACCAGGAGTGATAACTACGAAGCATAGCATAAAGAGGAGACCGAGAATAGGAAAAACTGTATAGCTATATTCCGTCTCATTCTSTCGCAGGCTAAATCCTATATGTTTGTCTCTTTCTCTCTCATTATTTAGTATAGAGTTTCATAGCTTCGTTACATAGCTTCGTTGCACAGCTTCGTTACATAGCTGCGTTACCGTTTATTTCCTTTTCAGATCACTCCCAATCTAAAGAAGTTTTCCCTTAAAAAAAAAAAAAAAAATAAAAGAAGAAATTTAATTTAATCGCAGGAAAGAATTCGTACAACGACGATGAGAAAGAAAAAAAAAATTATTATTTCTGTAATGATCATGACAAAAAAAGAAAAGAAATGAAAAAAAAAAAAGAAATAATAAAACGTCCAGGTAGATTTTTTTTTTGGTACAAAGACGACGAAAATCCTTCTTCCTCGCGTTTTAATAACTTCCTTTCTTTTATTTTCGTATTCCATTTTTTTTAACCTTCTTCTTATTCATCTATTATTGATTATGAAATCAGAAAGTGGGGCTGAAAATACGAACACGTTTTCAAATGACAACGGTACCAACTATTTTTATTATTTCCACGAGTTTATGAATTGTTTTCAAACTTTTTATATTGTATAACAAATTTTCATTTTATTTGTCTTTTTCTTTTACTACATTTATTTTCTGATTAATTATTTGACTGTGAACATTGGCTAAATTTCTTTATTTGTTCGTTTTAAGTAACACGTGGGTGGTAACTTAATATTTTAAGAGTTATCATTCTGACAATTTTTAATAAAATATTTTTCATTATTTAGCATAATTTTACTTAATGTCGTAACTAAAAAAATTGAAAAACACTAAAATGTAATACAATTGAAAATTATTTTCTATTTAATGTATGTTAAAAGGTATGGAATGTGTTTAAACCAATGTATATGCTTTGAAACAATCTGAAATATAATTAAAATGAGATTAAATATTAATATAATTGTTAATTTAATCGAAAGAAATGTGTATTGTTTTTTAAAAACACCAAGTATATGATCGGAGTACTATTTTGTTCAAAATTCACCTTCAGACTGACAATGAAAATTCTTTTATTCAATGTTGTTTATATGACTTTCCGATCATTGCGTATGTGCATAACGGAAATAAATCACCTAATTATTAGAATTTAAGGTTATAACGTTTTGATTTTAACTTTTTTTTGCATTTTAATGTAATTATTTTGATGCACCTACGCATTGATGACTTTGAGGTTAGAATTGGCCTGTAATTTAAATGAAGTGTATCAGAACACTAAAATAATTGTTAATTAATCAATGGGAATGTGCATTGTAATTTAAAAACACCAAGTATATGATCGGAGTACTATTTTGTTCAAAATTCACCTTCAGACTGACACATTGTCTTCCATGAAGTTTCTTTTATTCAATGTTGTTTATATAACTTCATGTAATTATTTAAACACTTTTGCGCAGGTAAAATTTTTCTGAACTATTAATAGAGTGCATTAGAATATAAAAATAGTAGAAAATATTTATAACCAAATAGTATGATAATAATTCTGTACTACTATTAGTTTAGAGAAACGAGATAAGAATGTTCGATGGTAATATAAGCTATGGTAAGAGATGATGCGGTTTCTGTAGAAATTAGATCACGTATTCACAGCGTTTCTTGATTCTAAAGGAGTCGAGAAGTAGGAAAAGGGGGGAGGAGGATAAGGGTGATGTTAAGGGAGGGTTAGATCTGTATTTTCATAGTGGATGAAGATCATAAAGTTCTTCTTCTATCTTGGTTTATATGGTAACAACATTTCTCCTGTTTCTCATTTCCTTTTTCCTTATTCGAAATTCTTTATATATTTCAATACATATATGTAATCATATAACCAAAACATACATATATTATAACATACGGTATAATAAATATAAATATAATATATAATACAGTATTTTAAAAATAAATATACATAAATGCAATATATATATATATGTATACATAATAAGTATTGTCATTTCTTGCTTGTACTGTTTCCATTTTTACGATTAATTAAAAACAATATGTTAACGGAGAAAGATAACGCGTAATAGTTTCACGAGTAAACGAGTTTAACGAATATAACAGCCGACAAGTATCGGCCGCTAGAAAGTGTCCTAAATTAATTTTAATTAAGCTCCTACCTTTATCTCTGTTTAAACAAACGAGACGTAGTATATAACGAAGCGAAATAAATTTGATGTGTATACTTAAACGCGTGAAACGATCGATGTTGCAACATGCAACAATGTTATGCATCACCATGCGACACATACAAAGTATTCTTTCTATATATTACTGTCTTTTTTATATTTCGTTGACTTTGTTTAAATATTACTTTGAAATCCGTGTAAGACTGATTAATTAAAAAGAAAGAAGAACAAAATAATAAACAAAGAGAGTTTCAAAGCATACGTCAAAAGGTTTGGGTTTAATTAATAGAATTTTTGTTTATAACTAACAATAATAAGTACAGGAAGTTTCATATAAAAAATAATTAAAAAAAAAAAATGATAATCATTGTGTATATATAATTGACATAAAATGAAGTTAATTAGAAGACTGGTATTTTTTCTTTGTCAAAGGATTCGTCCTACAATAATAATAATAATAATAATAATAATAATAATAATTATCCAATTATTCAGTTAATTCTTGTTTAAATTAAAGGCAAAGTCTGAATATATTTATAAAGTTTAATAAAAGGATATTTGAAAATAAGTTTCTTTGGTATTTAGATCGGAATCAAATATTTCGACACGAAATACACTGACATCTAGCTCGTAAAACGCATGTGTATGTATGTAGGTCAAATCGATTGGCATAAAGCCAATTGATAGCTTGACTATCAGTTTCTTTTTGTTGACGCCCCAAAGATTTTTGATTTTCCTTTTTTTTTTTATTCGTAAATGTTCTATGATTCTAATACGCCGTTTTCAATATCTTATCTTCGTGGAATTGCAAATTTTCAAACGTATTCCTTTTAAAGATTCTTCTTTACTATTGCCAGTTACGTGGCAAACGAAATTTACATAAGTAGCTATGGCTATGGCTATGCTATTCTATGGTATGGTATAGTATGGTAACTTTTCCTTTTATTTTCTCGATGAATTTATTCAACTTCGTAATGAGAGAGAGAGAGAGAGAGAGAGAGAGAGAGAGAGAGAGAGAGAGAGAGAGAGAGAGAGTGGATGGAACCGAAGTAAACACAAGAAAGAAAGAATAAAAAAATCACCCTTGTNAAACACAAGTTAACAACTGATACTACCAAGTTATCTTCACAAAATGGTTAAGAGTATGCCAAGTTGTCTTATATGTATGTATTCAAAATTTACTTGTCGCTAATGCCATCTACAGAAAAGCTATATGTCGACCGTTTATTTTGAAAGTGTTTTAAGTCCAGT